TCTATCAGTAGAAATATGATTAATCCTCATTTAGACATTCTGTAAATACTGATTCACCACCTCAAGAATTTTGAATTAAAATTAACAGGTACAGTACATGGAATAGTCTCAAATATACATAAAAAAGCTCATTACAGCTATGCAATTAAAGCTGTCAATTATGGAGAAGTTACCTCATAAGATCAACTACATCAGGAAACACAAGTAGATAACTTTTCTTTAGTGCTACCTATTTTTTGTATATAAAAAAAAATAGCCACAAGAAGAAAATACCGAGGTAACACTCTTAAAAATATCTTTAATCTTGGAATTTAATAACAGCCACTACTACATAATAGGATATGCAAATACATCACATACCACTGGCAACATATTCTCTATCCATTCAGTGCTTTATAAGTTGACAATTTATTAATTGCCAAAAAAAAAAATCCCCATTAGTGCCATATTCTCCGGTGAAACTAGGAGGGGTCCTGCCTACTTGTTAATTGTTCCGAGGATCACCACCTCTGCATTATCATCAAAGAAAGCACTAAACCAACAAGCACCACCTCCACAGCCCAGGCTCAGACCAGAACTCTTGGATGATGGCCCAGTCAGGCTGTGGAAGTTTGTATTACATTCCAATAAGGAATAGCATAGCACACCAGTTAATGTAGAATATTTTTTTTAGTTTCAGCAAAGCATGGGTCAACTCACTGCTTTCAAGCTGGTTTAATTCCCTTCAAGGGAGGTGCCCCGACCAGTGAAGGATTCTTACCCAAAGAATTGGAGCCGCCCTCCCTTTTCTTGGATCAAATCTGATTGCCTCCCATTCCACAAGGTGCTCTACGATCCCTAGGGTTCCAGAACTCCCAGTGAAACAAACAACTAAACTTTTCAATTTTTCCTCCATCTATTAATATAAAAATAATGTGGATTTAGCACTTAGTTATGATTATAATAATAATAGCTGAACAAGACAAAAAATAAAAAGTTAAAATTTGAAAAGCTACTTCTGCATTTAACAGATTAAGCAATTTTTTTATTAACACTTTCTCCATCTCCCACCAAGGCAGGGTGGCCCATAAAAGAAAAGCTTTCATCATTATTCACTCCATCAGTCTTGCCAGAGGTGCACTTACACTACATTTATAAAACTGCAACATTAACACCCCTCCTTCAAAGTGCAGACACTGTACTTACCATCTCCATACATAACTTTCTTGACATCATTAGTCAATGCCGTCAAACATGAAAATCCTACTTCTGAGATAGTGTGCATAAATGAGGGAGACTGATAATCCTGTATAACACTGTCACTGGTCACCAATTAGGAAATGGCAGACATTTTTCCACATTGGTGACATGATGCAGCCTGAACGTACAATACCCAGAGATGATGCGCATTATAAATGTTGGTTCTCCCCCCCCCTCTATGTACTGTATTAACATCACTAGCACCCTTAACTGCAAGTTTGGTTAAGTGAATTTTTTTTAGTATTTGATCTTGCAATATTTTCTTTATTGCTATTAACAGTGTTTTTATATGCTGCACCAGAAAAGTCAAGTCACTACTGTTGTTTACATGAACATTGCATTTGGATCTGTGCTTCAGTTCCCTGAATTAAACCTGAATGCCTTTCCTCCCTCCGAAGCATTGTATAATCCCCACGAGTTCAGTGCACCCCAAGATAATAATAATAATGAACCATTGCAGTGAGCACCTGCCTATCTAGATTAATTGGAAAGGAACCCTTTCTGTTTAAGCAAGATTTTTAAAAAAAATTTAAAACTGCTATCTGAATCTGTTACAAACAATACAATAATTTGTTATATCCATTTTTACTAAAATTGACCAAAATCTCAAACAGCCTCCCCCCAACTATCTTTCAATGCCTAGATTTTCTGATACTCTCATCATCTTGCTCTTTCCTATGTTCATTTTTAATTTCCTCCTTTTACATACCCTTTCTAAATCTCTCTACCAATGTACACAATTTCTCTTCAGAATAACCCAAAGAACCATGTCATCAGCAATAAGCAACTGTGAAGACTCACTTTGTATTAAGATTCATTATCTTAATTCCACACCTCTTCCTAACACCCTAGCATTCACTCTTAGAACCTCATATATAAATACATGTATATATTCAACAATGGTGACATCACACATCTAAGATTTACTTTTACTGGAGAATATTCTCCCTCTCCTAGATGCTCTAACCTGAAACTCGCTATCCATATAAAAAAAACTTACTGCTGTCAGTAACCTACCACCTATTTCATACATTTGTAACATCTGCCACACTGCTGCCCTATTCACCCTGTCATATGCCTCTTCTAAATCCATAAATGCAATGAAAGATTCCTTACCTTTATCTAAGTATAGCATTATTCCCTTACTTGCTTCAGTGTAAACACTAAGCCTATAAATAAACAATACTTAGCTAAAGGTAAGGAACTTTTCATTGCAATTTATGGATTCAGAAAAAGCATATAAAATTTCATGATTTGTACTGAATATACATATCATATATATCTACAAAAATCTGGACAAAGTAGGCAGTCACTGTATTTAAATAACCTGAATGATTAGCACAATTAATAAAAGGCAAATTTCTTTATCTCAGTTCTAAAAGACAGCAACTACACAAATGTGTATATGCATATTTTGAATTATGGTACAGAACTTGTTTGTATCATTCCTACTTGCTTCTAATTAAGTCCATGTTATAGCCACAGCCTTTGGATATCTTTCATCCAATATCTGAGCTAATGTGTGCTCTGTGAGCATGCATTTCTCATCCCTTGATATCTGGAAAATGGAAGCAGATATTTTGTGAAACTGTTCTAGTGATGCCAGATGTTTGATTATTATAGTTGCAAGTTTACCTGCACCAATATTCAAATACTGTATGGGATTTGAAATGTATTATAGTAGTTTCTGTCTAGTGATTACCTATTTGTAGTTAGAGGAGCCAAGCTATATTTATTTTGGAGAGTCCTATATAGTGATTATATACTATTTACAGTTACAACAAATAAACTGTGTATTACGGTATTCAGTCTGAGTGTTTAATCTCTTGTATAAATGTTTAATTTGCAGTAGTTATAATAATACCTCTCACATCATTCCAGCCATTTACCAAACTGAATATTTTCTAAATCTCCCTGCTCAAGTTTTCTGAAGGTGGGTTCATAAGAATAAGTGTTGGATCAAGTAAAATTCATGCTATCGTATACAAATATGCTTTATCATTATATATTATACATGTCATGCAATGTTTCAATGATTATATCATTACATGATATACTGTACTTATTTTGAGCTATTTAAATACAAGGTTGTAATTATTAGGCAATTTACTATAACCTCATTATTGAGTATGTAAGCAGCAATGTTAACTTCCTTTAATCTATCCAAGAGTATTTTGGTGAAAATATGAATTACCAACTGGAGTTGCAATACTACAGCAAAAACTTCCTCCTCCCATTTGTTACTTCTGGAGCATGTTCCTCTGGTACTTGCTCAAAATACAGTGGACCCCCGGTTTACGATATTATTTCATTCCAGAAGTATGTTCAGGTGCCAGTACTGACCGAATTTGTTCCCACAAGGAATATTGTGAAATAGATTAGTCCATTTCAGACCCCCAAACATACACATACAAATGCACTTACATAATTGGTTGCATTGGGAGCTGATCGTAAACCGGGGGTCCACTGTACATCTAACATGTAGTCAACAAAGATTTTCCAAACAGATAAGTAGCAGTTATTAATATACGTATAGTTACCAACTATACTGTATACTGTAAATTAATACAACCAATTCTTGATAAGTAGCATTAACACATTAATTACACAAAGATGGAAACAATATTCATTCAGATATCCATTCTATAAAGGTTACTACAGTAGTTTGAAACCTACAACAGTAAACGAAAAATTGCCCTACTTTATACAAATAATACTAAGGCTGATTCAAATATATTGTACTTCAAAAGGCAACGTGCATAAAAATAAATAATAACAATATAATGGTTTTTTCGTACAGTGGTATCTCATATATGGTTTGTATAATATAAACCAAAAAAAAAAAACTTACCAATATCCATTTTATCACCAAAGGTCATTCATTACTTAAGTAAAAATGGTTCAGCACATTAGCCATACATAATATAGATGAAAACAGTAAAAATTTCAGATGAGGACAATCCACGTATCAAACATTCAAACTGCAAGTTCATTCATTTTAAAGAAAAGACTAGAACACAATTACTTCCCTTTATGAGCTAAGTAATTAGCATATCAAAATTACACAAGCCACTTTGAATGAGATTACTTTGTTTTCCAGTAACATGAAGACTGCAGGCAATATTGTGTGCAAACTGGATGTTGTCATAATTTATGATACTTATAATCATACCTGTGACTGGTTTCAAGGGTTCTTTTACCCCTCACAGCCCAGCCTGTGGCCAGGATAATTAAAGCAGTTTTTATCTGCATCAAAAAAATGGGGTTAATAAATACAGGATAGTCATTATGGCCATGTAATAACACAATCTATAATCTATTTAAATGTAACACTGTACATGTAACTAAAAAGAATATATAATAGAAGAGCCATCTTTATATTGTTAGGTAAGACACATATGCAACAGTTAGACAACTTTATTCCGAAACGTTTCGCCTACACAGTAGGCTTCTTCAGTCGAATACAGAAAATAGGCAGGAACAGTAGAGATGTGAAGACGATGTAATCAGTCCATCACCCTTGTAGTCGTAGAATTTGAGGTTGTCAGTCCCTCGGCCTGGAGAAGTTCAGTTCCATAGTCAGGAACTATCCTGACTATGGAACTGAACTTCTCCAGGCCGAGGGACTGACAACCTCAAATTCTACGACTACAAGGGTGATGGACTGATTACATCGTCTTCACATCTCTACTGTTCCTGCCTATTTTCTGTATTCGACTGAAGAAGCCTACTGTGTAGGTGAAACGTTTCGGAATAAAGTTGTCTAACTGTTGCATATGTGTCTGCCTAACAACCTGTCGGTATTGTATACCATTTTGATGTTCATCTTTATATTAATACTAATATGCATAACTTTCACTCTGTACTTTACCTTCCTAAGCAAACAGCTCAATGAAGTGAAATTTTAATATTAGCAATGTGAATGATTTAATTTTTATTTTTCAAAATCACATCATGTACCAGTGACCAACAGAAAATTCTACACCAATTTTTTCAGCTGTATATCTAAACAGATAAAGATAATGCAAATGAACTACCTGCCTGCTACTGGATAATATTAAAAATATTATTCTATAATTTTTTTATATAGTGGAACCTCAGTGTCTGAACTCAAACGGTTCCTAAGTGGTGTTCGAACTGCGAAAATTTCAATGTTCGTAAAACTTTCCCAGGCTTTAATTATCAGCCTCATACACCGGAGGATGTTAAACTGACTATTCCAAAAGTCTCTTGAGAGTTAGGTCAGTGTCAGAGGTCACTTCAAAGCTCTCTTGAAACAGGGCTTTCATATAAAGCTTTTCACAACTAAATTTTAAACAGAGCACATTTGGACTCGAGAAAAACGTTCGAAGACTGGGTCAATTTTTTCTGAACATAATTGTTCAGATTCCAATTTGTTCGAGGTCCAGTACATTCAAACACTGAGGTTCCACTGTATGACTGAAGATTTAATTACACTGGGTCTCTGTTGATATATTATGGATTTGAGAATTATTATTATAATCAGTTTAAGAATTAAACCCAAAAGGGGAATAAATTTGAAAAGACCTTACAAATTAACCCTTAAACTTTTACCATATGCCTGATTCTTCCTGCTTTCAAATTTGCCAATTTTAGGTCTTGGGTCATGTATGGGTTATCAGGCACCTTCTCAGGGCAGAGAAAAATATTGTTAGCTGCTGGATCAGCACAAGGAAAAAGAGTAAAATCACCCCAGTAAGCTGTTTTCACAGTAGCTGTCTAGAAAGTGTTGATTTGAGTGATAAGCATAATTTTAATAAAACAAATATAGAACACTTACACCCCAAAAAGCCCTGACACCACCCTGCCAACAAGTGACATTTCCAACTACCCTGCCAGCACCATATGCAATACCTCCAGCTACCATGCCAACATCACATGTGGTACTACCAGCACTTCTGAAAACCATCCACTGCCTTACCAACACATGGCTCTGCCAACATGTGGTGCCACCAGCACCCCTAACATCATCAGTTCCTCTGCTAACAACACTACATGTGACACCACCAGCTTCCCTGCCACATAACATGGAGAACCCCACCAATACTCCTAAGACCACATGTGTCACCACCAGCTATCATCACTACATGTGTTCACATCAGCAAACCTGATACCACCAGATACACTACCAACAGACACTATTACTGTAAGGTTTGTGATATACCACTGTTTCAAAGAATATCACATCCTGAAACAACTGTAGTATCATAGTAGTTCCCTATACAATGTGTTGAAAGATAAAAACAATCATAAGAAATAAGACAAAACATTTACTGGAGGAGCTTTATAGTGAATACTGAAATTGTAAATACATGTATAGTGTGATGTACTTTTCTGCCTTTTTCTAGTACTGAAACAACTTGAAAAACATCCATTACTATTATAAGATGTTGCTTAGATACCGAAAAAAAAAAAAGTTTGAAAAAATATGCAGTTATCTTGGAGAGTAAAAAAAAAAATAAACTATTATTAGAAGAGTGCAAGATGTAAACAAAATTAAAGTTGATGCAACAAGTTAGTTTCTGTTAAAAAGTAAAAATCTGCATCGAAGGTGGGATCTGAAGCAAGGAGGTCAATTAAAGTGTGTTGGGGTGGAGACATCAGAAGTGAATTCTGACATTGCAACCTGACAGTCATCACAGAGCGGTACCAGGAGTTTTTCCACGAGGTGTCGATTATGTAGGCAGGAGAATGCAATCTCCCATGCCCAACAGTGATGGGAAGAGGGCCAGAAACCCATCATGTTTGACAGAAAATTTATTATGAACTACCTTGAACCACTGTTGATGCCAGCGGATGCAAAGTTGTCAAGAGATCACTGGAAAATAGTCTAAGAAAGAAATGCCCCTGTGTGAAATTTGACAGCTGACAGAGCAGCTGAGTTACCTCAAACAATGATAAGTCCAGGGACACAGCAAAATGTGATGCCAGTATTTACTAGAAATGCAGCATAACCAAAGTTACAAATAAAGGATGACAGGATGAGGGAAATCAAATTTCTGGACAGCCTGTAAAACAGAGTTGGAGTCTGAAACTACTATGAATGATAAGGCAGTCAATGATCCAATGTGTAAAATGGTCATGAAAATGCATACAACTTGGTTTTCAAAATACTGGAAGAATGTAGTAAATGACCTTGGATGATGTTATCAGGAAAAACTGCTGCATAACCCAACCCCATTAGGGTACTTAGAACCAATGAGAATGACAATGATCCTAAAAATTAAATAAACAAATCCTATTTTACAAAATTCTGTCACATCACCAGCACTTCCCATCCTCTTCTCCCAGCTGCCACAGTTTAAGGGTTAATGAAGATCTGAATGACAGTTCTCAACATTCAAATAAGGGCATTTTCATGATGCAGTGTTCAAGAAATTTACAATTATTTTATCCCTATGCCAATTGATTTATTTGGAAACCAGAGAAAAAAATAATCCAGCCATTTACCCTAATAGATGATAGATAGAAGAATTAAGTTAAAAATCCAAGCTTTCCATTAAAAATGAAAATGTCAAAACTAAATGCCAAATACGGAAACTTCCAAATTATTTTTTACAACCATTAAAGAATCTTAAATTAATAATTAGGTCAATAAAAACAAAGATAATAGATGACTACACATTTAAATGACTACCCATACTATGGCACTTGATCCTCTTCTGGAAGAACATATTGCAGTTAAGAGGCACACAAGTAAATAGCTTTATCAGCTCTGTACTTTGGTAAGTGGTTTCAGAATTATTTCAAAAGTAGAATTTGTTAAATAACCTACCAATCATGTTGACTTGGAAAATATATTCAAAACGTAAAAAAAAAAAAAAAAAAAAAAAAACCGCTGAGCTTTGGAGAATTTAGCTTAATAAAACAGGACAATTAAATGTCCTCAATTTGAAAACCACAATTTTGCTGTCATATGCCTTGACATAAAATATGCAATAACAATTAATAAACCAATAATACATTCTGCTAGCAAACTAGATAATTCTGGAATTCTGAATACATAATATTTAAGTAGTTTATATCAAATGGATAAACAACTACTAAAATTATGCGTTATATAATCAGAATTGTTCGTCCAACTTTCCACTAATACAAGTTGAAACAGGAAAAAAATTAAGTAAAAAAGGTTTAATTCTTGGTACCAAAAAGAGAAAGAAGATTGATGAAGATGTAAACTATGTCCAAGTAGAGCGTCAGCACACCATAGATGTGCTCCTCAGAAGATATCTGGTGCTTGCGTCCACCAACGACCATCTGCGTATCGTACACAAGATACTGGGGAGAACAAGCAAATGAGATTCCTCTAACCAAGAAATAAGCTTTTTACTATTATACTGATTAAATCATATAATGTACATGTAATGACTGTTTTCAAATTCTAATTTAGTGAGGATAAGTATCTCATGCAAATGAATTAAAAGAATTTTTTCTGTGAATTTTTCACATTTACTGTACCTTAGCTTAATATTTACATAAACTACATAAATTTTAGAGCACAAGTACTGTATATACCATAATAATCCTTCGCTTTATACAGGTTCCTTACGTGCAAATTTGCTTTTAAGTGACTACTCCATTGCTGCCAGATATTCCCTATGTGCAATATAAATATAAATAAGTGAGGGGGGTGGATGCTGTGCACTTTGAGACTGCTACAATTGTTCATATATGCACCATGGGCCTGGACAGCATCTGTTGCACAAAGCGAGGGATGCCTGTATAAATGAAGTGTGCTGGCAAGAGATTTTACACAAGCCAAAATGCATAAAGCCAAAATAAAACAAAACAAAAAATTCAGAAGGGAAACACTACTCCTCATACTTCACCGTCTGGTCATTCATCCACCTCCAAATCCTTTATCACACATGTTCTTCAAAGATAAAAATACCATGCACATCAGGTCCTGCATAAAACTAAGTACAATTATAGTACAAAAAAATTATTTATACACTGCATACAATATACAAATAAAAAAAAGTATGATTATTTTTAAATGCAAACATGATGCCAGGAAAATGCTGAATAAATGTACCACTGCACTGTAGTTTAATTAAAATACAATCATACTTTAATAAAAGTTGTAAATGGTGTTACACAATTTATAAAATAATGAAATACCAAATTAGTGAAAATAACTTCTAAAATTTATCAAGATCAAAGAACACAAACATTATAGAAATCCTTTCACAATATAACAGCTCTGCAAAGATCCTTCCATTAAAACCTATTAAGATAAATTAAAATTGTCCTATTTTGCAAGGTGAATTCAATATTACAGTTGATTCAAATGCTGAATAACTGTACTCACGACAATATGTGCTTAAAGAAATAAATGCTATGTACTGCAACACCAAAAACATTTTACTCAATGATTTCAACATTACCCTAGTGAAATTCCTCATGCAACTTTCTGACTTTCAATATCAATGCAGATTGTGTACAAAGAAAGCATTCAGGATGCTTGTAGCTCTGATTACACAGAGATCCTTAGGGGACATGGCATTACCAATGGCGATTTGAAAGATTAAAGAACAGAATGAGCCATATGTGCCCAGATTGAAGGTACATATCAAAAAATTTGTAAAGTAATGATCAGGGAATATGAACCATATATTCAAGCTGTCTCAATGAGGGAATCTCCAAAAATGTGCCAGGATCTTTATATATAGATGCTTTGCAAAAGCCTGGAAGTAATAGAGGAATATGTCAACCGATAGATACTATGCCAACTGACATATTAAATAAAATTATTAGAAATTTGATGTCGCTGCAATCTCATACAGCTTCCATAATATCTTCACCAAACTTAAGCTGTAGAAATTAATGACATTCCTTAGAAATATATAAAAATAAAGCTTAAATGTAATTTCTGAATACCAGTAGATGAAAACACTATATTAGAGAAAATGACACATGGATCAAGTAGGTCATTATGTAATTGCCCAACATGTGAAGAGCTTTTGTATTATAATCGTGGGACAGGTTTTCTATAATACTAAACAATTTACTCTAAACTTATTTTCATCATGTATTTTAAAAAAAAAATTATCAGTATACAAGTTAACATGTTCTGCTAAATCAGCTCATGTTTTTATATATGGTAATTATAGTTTATTGTGTATTGGAAACTGTACTGTACTCCTTCAACATCCATGCAATTTGTGTGAATTCTAAAAATCTGCAATATTTTTGTACTATACTGACCATGATCCACAAGCATCACTTGAACAATCTCCATGTGCCAGATGTACAGTACCTGGTTTTGCAACTAACACCTGTCCCCTGAGCAAGATATAGCTGAATATGCAACTAGCAAATGACATCCCCTATATATAAAAAGCTCCTACATCAATATACAGTGGAACCTCTGGTCACGACCATAATTTGTTCCAAAGCTCTGGTCACGACCCAATTTGGTTGTGACCCAAACCTAATTTCCCCAGTGGATTGTACGTAAATACGATTAATCCATTCCAGACCCCTATGAACTGTATGTAAATATTGTTTATCTTGAGATTTTTAAGCAGAAAAATAGTTAATTATACATAGAATGTACAGTGTAATAGTAAACTAAATGAAAACCTTGAATAACATTGAGAAAAACCTTGAACAACAGAGAAATCTAACATTGCAAGTCCCTTTTAGACCCCTACAAACCATTCGCTGTAAACAGTGAACAGTTTATAGGGGCGAGAAGTGAACTCAGCCCTACAGTTCGTAGGGCTGAGAAGTGAACTCCGTTATTTCTCACCTGATTTCTTTCATTTTCGGTACACGTTAAGAAGCATCTTTCCATCAAAAGATAGCCCAACAAACAACTGAGAAAAAAAATATTTACCAAAAATCATATATGGCAAGCCCTAGCTGGGTACTGGCACTTCGAGAAGCTGTTTGTGCACTACCTGCTGATAAAACATTGCTAAGTCGAATTTATCACTGTCGTAATTACAGCCTCTCCTCACTTAACGACATACTCGTTTACCGACGACTCAGACTTACGATGGGCTCTCTGACCAGCATGCATACCTAAATAATGTATATTAGAGCTGATTTTCTCTATTCTGTATTACAATATACAGTACACTACTGTATAAACATTTAAAAATACAACAGAAATGTTATAGATGGTGCAAAGGTGACATTAAAACAATATCAAAGATGGTTGACACAAACCCACTACCATTATAGTGTGTTCCTTACTTAGCGATGAATTTGTTTACCGATGAGGTCTTAGGAATGGAACTCTGTCGTTAAGTGAGGAGAGGCTGTACTGTAATTTATGAATAACTTAATTCCGAGATAATCAACGAAAACGAGCACACACACACACACACACACACACACAACACACAACAAAAAAAAAAAAAAAAAAAAAAAAAAAAAAAAGAAAAATGAGTCACTCTGTCTGACTTTTTTGAGTTATCCTTGGTTCTCTATACATCTGCTGCTATGCATGATAATCTATTTAACTGTATGTGTGTATACCTGAATAAACTTACTTAGTCTTATGGTGCATTATGAGTGCATATCACAGTTAGCACTGTACTACACTACATTTTCTCTAAGATAAGTACCCAGGAGGGGATAAGAGGATGGTACTTTATCCCTTATCCTCTAGCACATCTGACCGAGATCTACTACAAGGTGAGGGTCTTTGTTAGGTGTACACAAATAACAGGAAGTGGAGAAAATTGGCGCGCATGAAAAAAATGGCGCGGAATGTGAAAATTGGCACGGAATGTGAAAATTGGCGCAGCTGTGCTCATTCAGCACCCGATTATGTGTTCGCGACCAGATGCAAAAAATGGGCGAATTTTTTTTGGTCATGAACCAATTTGTTCATGTTCAGAAGTGTTTGTGACCAGAGGTTCCACTGTACTGTTGTATACTACAATATTATTACTGCTAGTAGTACTACTACATCTATCCTAAACCATTGTACTAACATTTCTTCAGCTCAAGGAGAAGAAGAATTAATAAATTAATGAGAAATACTACATGCTAAAAGGGCAGTTAACATTATGAAAAGTACCAAGTGAGAGTACGAAAACCCAACAAGGAATTCAAAATCAATGTGGGCCAGAAGTCATGTTCAGAAGGTCAAATAAATATGCAGTAACCCTTAAGCTGTCCAAACGTAGATCTACGTTGACATGCGTAGTGCTCCGAACGTAGATCTACATCCAATTTTACATGCTTTCAATTGGAGAAAATAAAGGTCGGAGCGCTACACACGTGAACGTAGATCTACGTTTGGACAGTTTAAGGGTTAAAGGATGGACTTTTTGGGGGCGTGCAGAGAGAGAGAGTAAATTTAGCAGGGTGCTGAAGTGGTTAAAATAATGACTATACACTCTTAGATAAATATGAAAACTTATTAAGAGGTGTTGGATTGTCACCATGATCTATCAGCTATTAGACTGGTGTAGTGCCCCTCCCTAAGATAACCATGTTAGATACTGCATGAATAATGATAATAGATGTTACTGTATGAAAATGTGTCTGGAAAGCTTCTGTTTTTATCTTACCACATTGGCAGGTTCCCACCAATGTAGGGTGACCAGCCATGGTAAAAGAAAAAAAAAGTACATATATTCCAGACACTCTTCCTCTCCCACCTTCTCTAACTAGTGATAAGTTGACAATACCAGTGTTATCTTCCCATAATGGATACTACTCCTGCCATGATGTTCATACTGTTAATAAGGAAACTCTTTCTTGGCCTGCAGAGAACATTTTGTTTCTTTGAACTGCATATGCTTATTGCACCACCTGGCTTTACATGTTTGCCCTATATAAATTACAATACACTACATCTTGCTTAAATTGGTACAGCAGAATGTAAATTGTTTATAAAATTTCTGCCCAGCTTAAGGTTTAAAGGTTAGGAAACTAAGGCCCCATGCACTCTAACAGCAGTGACAGGATTCACACACTGAAACCTTTGTCACTTGGTTTTCTCACAAGCATCAAGTTGTCAGTGTTGTTGAAACTAATCATCTCCTTCCCAAATCCTAACTTGATGCATTTTTAGAACTTGTGTTGATTTGTAGTTAAACAGTAACAGCTTTAAAGGAGGGAATAAAAATACACCATGCAATCTTCTCAAGCCTAAATTAAGTACAGCATATAAAAAGTATAAGCAAACACATGCTTCCCAAGCTGCTGGCTATTTGTTCATCATTTATCTTTCAAAAAACTTATGTTAACCAAATTGTTGTTAGATTTAGTGCCTATTAACTACACATGTATCACTTAAATTGTAACCTGCTAGT